AACATAACCTCTGATAGTGAATTCTGATCCCCCAAAATGTAATGCAACACCCGAGGTTCCTTTGGTGTATCTTAGGATCTGCCATAAACCGACTAACCGTTCCAATTGCTTGAGCAATATCTAGTCTAGTACATATCATAGCATACATAAGGCTTCCCACCACTGATGCATACGGTACTCGAGATATTTCCATCCTTCTCGCTTCATTGCTAGGATTCATACTTGAGGATAATTTATAATTGACAGGAAGTGAGGTAGAGATTGGCTCACATTCTTGCATGTTAAAGTGGCATAAGACTTTCTAAAGATGATTTTTCTGAGAAAGCCAAATCCTTCTGTCTTTCCTGTCTCGGTGAATTTGCATCCCTAAAATCTTATTTGCTGGTCCGAAGTCCTTCATATCAAACTCCATATCCAATTGTGCCTTCAATTCTTGGACTTGATCTTTCTTGGGACCTACCACCAATATGTCATCCACATACAACAACAAAATGATAAAATAATCATTATCATCAAACCTTTTATAATACGTATAATGGACTGAACTTAATCTGTTGCATCCAAGGCTCACGATGAAGGAATAAAATATCTTATACCAACACCTTGGCGCCTATTTTAAACCGTATAGAGATTTAGTCAACCTACAAACCAAATTTTCTTTTCCTTGTTCTTCAAAGCCTTAGGGTTGGAGCATATATATTTCCTCTTCAAGTTCTTCATGAAGAAACACAGTCTTTACATCAAGCTGTTCTAGATTTAGATCAAATGCAGCGCACATCGCCAAGACCACTCTGATTATGGTGAGTCTTACCACTGGAGAAAATATCTCATTGAAATCAATACCTTCTTTCTGAGCATATCCTTTAACCATCAATCTTGCACAATATCGTTCCACCTGATCGTTGCCATCTCGCTTAATTTTGAATACCCATTTGTTGCCGATGAATTTCCGACCTTTAGGAAGTCCAACAAGTTCCCACGTGTTATTTCTATGTAAGGCTTAAATTTCCTCTTGCATTGTTGCCATCCACTGAGAAGCATCTGAACCATTTAATGCCTCATGAAAAGTTGATGGTTCTCCATCTTCTGATATAAGACAATATGCATCATGACTTGCCATCACATATTTTGAGTGCCTGGATAGTTTTCTTATCTGACGTGTGGTTCTTCTTGGATCTACATTATTGACCTCAGTTGGTTCTTGTTCTTAGTGCTCTAGCTCTACTTCAGAAGAATCATTTTCTCCTGACTTTTCCTCCATCTCCACATTAGTAATCTCCTTTATATTGTTGTCATCTTTTTGCTCCTTTTGTAGTTCATTTTCTACAAAGATTACATCTCTACTAACAATAATCTTGTAGGAAGCAGGATCCCGCAGACGATACCTATTTACATTGTCAGCGTAACCCAAGAATATGCATTTCTTGGATTTTGGGACCAACTTTTTTCTTTCTTGGGAGTTGTACATCACGTACATATGACATCCAAATACATGCAAAGAAGAATAATCACCTCGTTTTCCCTTCCACATCTCCATTGGTGTCTTTAAATCAATCGTAGTTGATGGCGATTTATTTATCATGTAACAGGCAGTTTTGACAGTTTATGCCCATAAAGACTTTACCAATCCTGATGTTTTCAACGTAACTTTCGTCTTCTCCAAGAGAGTTCTATTCATCCGCCCTGCTACACCATTCTGCTGAGGTGTATGAGCAACAATAAATTGTCGTTTAATACCTTCTTGCTTAAGGAATGTCAGCAAATCACCATCTTTATATTCTCCTCCATTATCTGTCCTCAAACACTTAATTCTTTTCCCAGTTTCAAGTTCCGCTTGTGCTTTGAACTTCTTGAATACTAAATACACACCTGACTTCTTCTTGATTGGGTACACCCATAGTATCTTGGAGTAATCACCAACGAATGATACAAAATATTTTGCTCCACCAATGGACATTTCTGGTGACTCCTACACATCAGAATGAATCAAGTCTAGTATGTGCTTGCTTTTAGCAGTTGAATTAGCAAATTTTAGTTTATACTGCTTTCTTATCACACAGTGCTTGCAGAAAAGTAAACTTTCAAGCCTCGTTTTGACATATGGCCTAGTCTGTGATGCCATATCATCGTTTTTTCTTCTTGGCTTCTAGCTGCTACTAATGCATCTACTCCTTTCATCGTGTCTCCTAAAAGCATGTATAGATTTGCAGCGAACTTCTCTGCTTTCTTCACTACTAGCGAACCTTTCACCACTTTCAAGATCCCACCTTGAACATGAGTCTTGCATCTGAGGTCAACTAGTTGCCTAATAGACAACAAATTCTTCGTCAATCCTTTCACATGTCGTACCCCTTGAAGCGTGCAGATAATACCATCATATATTTTCATTTTGATAGTACCAACTCCAGCAATTTCCAAAGCATGGTCATTCCTCATCAATACATGTCCTTCTGAGATAGGTTCGTAAGTGCAAAACCAGTCTCGTCGTAGAGTCATGTGCGTGCCATGTTGCTCCTGAATCTACTATCCAACCATCAGTGAGTTGAATTTTGCCTTTGGTACTAAATGTTGCTCCACTGTAAAAGATTTCTCCATCATCAGAGGTACTAGCAATACATCCTTGAGATGTACTTGCTTAAAAAGACTTCTCACCATTCTTCTTATTGAACCAATATTCTTTCTTCAAGTGTCCTCTCTTACCACAATTGTAGCATTTAAGGTTTTTTCTTCTTTGAGATTTTGATTAACCATGATTTTGACTCCCACTAGGACCATGTTACGTTGATCTACCTCTCGTAATCGTCAAAGCTTCTATTCGTTTTGAGCTTTCTTGTCGATCTTCCTTATTTTTACGACTGAATTCTTCTTCAAGAATAGCTCTGGCGACATCATTAAAGGATAGAAGGTCAACAATATTATTGTTTGTAATATTGATGACAAGTTGATCATAAGAATCTGGTAAACTCTGAAGAAGAAGCTCTGCTCGTTCATTTTCCACTATTGTGAAATCTGATGCGGATAGTTGAGCAAATAATATATTCACATTGTTGATGTGATCCAACACCGAAGTGGATTCACTCATTCGAAAAGTGTAGAGTCTCCTCTTTTAGAAAATTCTGTTGTGAAGTGACTTGACCTCGTACAGTTGGATAAGAGTATCCCAGATCTTCTTTTGTAGTTTTCTTTTCTGTTATACTTGACAAAACTGAATCTGCCATTGCTAAGTGCAAATTGGCAACAATATTGTCATCCATCTCTCTCCACTTTTCATCAGTTATATCTGTAGGTCTACCTTTAATTGCCGGCGAGCAATTATCCTTCCTTAGGATTGCCTGCATCTTCAATTTTCACAGGGAGAAATTACTCCCACTGAATTTTTCAATCTCTAATTTTGCAGCCATTTTGTTTTCTCTCTGAACTGGTTTACACAATTTCACCGTGAATAACACAATATACGTGAGCAGTATTGTATATTTTTACCTCACACTAGAATAAATCTAATATACACTAACAATCACTGCAAAAGTATACAACCACACGTGTGAATAGTAACCGTACGCCGCAGCAAAAATAGAGACCGACACCAACAACTCTGATACCACTATTGGATATCAGAGTAGCAAGATAAATATTACAAAGTTAAGAGATCAATGAGTAAGAAAATTGACACAAAATATTTACGTGGAAAACCCTCAACAAATAAGGAAAAACCACAGGCACCAGTAGAAAAGATTTTCACTAAGTGGAAGAAATCACAACACTTCTCTCTATATACAAGAAGACAAATTACACTCTCTCTTGTAAAAGGAGAACACTCACTAAAAAAATCTTATAGGAGAAGATACAATATATTCTATCTCTCTAAATTTTTCTTTTATATTATATTGCAATGTTTTGTGTTATTGCATGTGTTAGGAATTAAAAATGCACCTCTATTTATTGGTGCGCATCTTCACAAAATCATGAGAGTTGTTACAAAATCATAGGTGCAAAATCATGGATGTTTCTTTCTTGGTCCACTAATTGTGATTTTATTCAACTACAATCTTTCACCATGACCACAATCTTTGACTGTGACCACAATCTTTGACATATAAAACCACAACCATTTATTTAAATGTAAACTATCACAAATAATTCACTCGTAATCAAACATCAAAAATAAAATTTGAGAAAAAAAAATTTAACAATACGAAAAAGATCATTAATAAAAATCAAAATTAAATTGAATAAAAAAATACAGAATAGAAAAATATCAATTAAAAAGAGATAAATAACTGAAAAAAAAAGAGTTAAGATAATTGAGAAAGTAAAGGGAAAAGAGAAAAAATATGAGAGGATTTTTGCCCATGCACATTGCTATTGGAATTCTCTGCTTGTAAAATATATACTCCATTTTTTTGATCCATTTTGCTTTCATAGAGTCACTGTTTGAATTGCTGAAATAGTAACAATTAGAAGTCTATCTGATTCGGTTCACACTCTCATATTTGCCTCATCAGTAGTAACAATTTTTTCCACATATTAAGAATAGATAATAAAGAAAACTAAAATATGCGAAATGATGATATGCAACTAAATAGAGTCTCAACATCTTTCGTCACTTATTAATTAATTTTTTCAATATGCTTTTTTTTTTGGTTGGTTTATTTGTATCCATCCATGTAAGGTGTTAATTCATATAAGAGAAAAGGTTAGCTTGAATATAAAGATTAGGAGAGAAAGAATTGCTTAATTGATTGGATACTACTAGTACATAGTATTAAGGTATAATAATAGTAATAACAACATTATAAAGTGTTGTTATAAAGTAAAAGAGAATGAGAGTGTAGTACATACAATAGAAAGGATGAGGCATTGGCTATCCACCATTCATCAAAGATAATATCTTTGGGGAAAAGGAAAACACACACACTCACATACATGAGCACTATCTCATCATTTCATTTCATTGATATTTTTATTTCTTCTACACACTCCTCACAAACACAAGCCTAACAATGGCACTCAGGATGTGGGCTTCTTCAACTGCCAATGCACTCAAACTCTCCTCTTCCTCTAGATTACATCTCTCCCCTACCTTTTCCATCTCCAGATGTTTCTCTAATGGTATACTATTTTCAATCATGAAACATATATAGATAGATTCATATATTATTCATGTTTATTTCTTGCTCAATTTTCAGTATTGGATGGACTCAAGTACGCACCTTCCCATGAATGGGTCAAGCATGAAGGACCAGTAGCCACTATTGGTATCACTGACCATGCCCAGGTTTGTTGCCTGCACCTCTCCCTCTATTTCTGTATCTATGTATCTCGTGTCTGACATGTGTCCGTGTTTGACATAACACATCATTTCTGTTCCACAGGACCATCTTGGAGAGGTTGTGTTTGTGGAGCTTCCAGAACCTGGTGTTTCAGTTACAAAGGGTAAAGGTTTTGGAGCTGTTGAAAGTGTTAAGGCAACAAGTGATGTAAACTCTCCGATTTCGGGTGAGGTTGTCGAGGTTAATACTGAGCTTACCGGAAAGCCTGGCCTGGTATGTTCATTCCTTCACTCTCACCTTTAGAACATAAAGCTTAATTAGTTAAGTACTTATTGAATCGAAAAGTAAACTAGTAGTGTGTATATGAAAAATAAGCCGAAAACTAGGATGGATAGCTCAACTGGTTTGAGTTAGTTAAAGAAATTCGTGGACCTGAGTTCAAACTCCAGTGACAGAGAAAAACTAATTACTACTAGTATTTACCGTTTTGAAAACTAACTTAATTTTTCTACTTTTGTTGCTTGAAGATCAATTCAAGCCCATATGAAGATGGATGGATGATAAAAATAAAGCCAAGTAGTCCAGCTGAATTAGATTCCTTGTTGGGTCCAAAAGAGTACACAAAATTTTGTGAGGAAGAAGATGCTGCACATTGATGTTAATTTCAATATCATTGGACTGACTGTTTTCAATATTGTACTACTATACTATCTATCATCTTGTTTCTCTACTTTCTTCAAATGCAATAGAATTGCTTCAAGTTATTGTTGTTTCCATGCCGATATTGTCGCCGACACTTCAGTGTGTCAGTCTATCTACCTTGTCATGTACTAATTAAGAAGCAAATTTGTTTTTTCTCATCTATCCATTATTATTTTCACAATAAGTTTCAGAATAATCTCGATTCAAAAGAATAAAAATACGAAATCAAGAGAAACATATGATTTTTGATAACGAAGCTCAGTTCAGTCAACTGTGTCTACGTCTCCGTCTCTGCATGACTTATGTTACTTTAATAATTCTTGCAAGACAGTTGTCCATAGGCCTTGCAACTGGCAGGTAGGTAACTGGACAGTCTGGATTCCATACCATTGAAAGATATTCCATTTGCTTAATTTCTTTAAGGTTCAACCCTTTTTGTGTGAAAGACCTTGATTCCATGATCTTTTCTTGTTCTTTCTGAAAATATATTTATTTTGAAAGTGCATCAATATTATTAAATGTGTATATGTGGACCTTTTGTCATAAACTACTATGAAATGGATCAAGGACAAAAATAAAAATATGTTCAAATTATTATTTTTATTAAAAAAATAACCTTAGCCTTTTGGAAGACATGTGGATGATCCATGAGGTGGATAATAGTCCATAAAATTGCATGAGCAGAGCTTTCATGACCAGCTAACAAGAACACAAGAAGCAAGTCTATAATGTCTTCATCCTCTAGCATCTTACCCTCTTCATCTTTTACTTCCATTAATAAACCCATCATGTCTTTTCTTATCCTTTTCTCTCTATTATTATTCCTCCTCTTTTGGGCCACCAAGGTTTGCAACACTTTCACCAACTTCTTTCTTGCCTAAACATACAATCATAAATTAATCAACAATATTATATATTAAGTAGTAAAATCCAAAACATCAATTTCTTTACTCACATGAACAATATTGTTTTTTCTTATAGTTGCATAATTTATATATTTTGCACTTAACAAAAGAACTTAAGTTAGAGGTTCTGAGTTTGAATATAGTCCTAAAAATACAGCGTCAAATGTCTCAAGAGACATTTGTCGTTCATTATAGTCATTCAGGCTCGATGATTAGTATTTACGATTACACATAAAGACTAATAAGTAATAATCTAAAAAATTAGAGTTATTACTAAATGTACTCACATGCATCATGCGTCGTCTGTGACGTAATGTCATGTTCCGTGACTACAATGATACATATCAAGCGACCACGACTATGATACATATCAAGCGACAACGACTATCAGAGACACGAAATGCACATTCAATATGAAGTATCGATCTTACTACTAATACTATTTTAGCATAAATGAGTAAATATGTTTGAGTAGTTAGCTAACCTTGAGTGCTTTATAGAATGCAAAACCAGGAAAATTGATGGCAAGTGACTTCATTCCTTTACTGAAATCAATGTACAAACTCTCAACCAACCCAAGGTCCACATGATCACAATCAGAGGATATAAAAATGGTAGTAATTACTTCAAAAGTAAACTTTCTCATCTCTTTAAGAAACTCGCACGACGTATTCATTGCTGATATCTCTTCTAAATATCTCACAGCAATATTTTCTATGAGACCGATATAAGTAGACAATGCCTCGTGACCGTTTATCGGAGACGTGATTAAGCGTCGCAAACGTTTGTGTTCAGAATTCGAGATTCCATGAAAGGATCTTTTCCCTGTGAGAGCCATAGTTGAAGGAGGGTATCCTAGTTCGAGATTCTCCTCGTCGGTTAGAATCTTACGACATGTATCTGGTGTACATACTATGATGCTTGGACTTCCAAACAAATATGTCCTATACATTCCTGTCCTGCCATATCTATGTATGTATGAGAGGACACAGGAATGTGCGTACATATAATTACAAAATAGAGATTCTTGTTGATATTTTCAATTATTTTTAGATAAATATTCGATTAATGAGTACCTGGATACAAGTTTGCTGATGAAGGAATCAGGATCAGATTTGAAGGCTTTGAGGAAGGTTGGCATGTTACCAAGGAAAGGCCAACCCATGTCACCAGGTGGGAGAGGGTAATATAGGAATTTTCCAAACCTGCTAACATAGTAGCAATCATTCAATCTTCTAAGAAAGTGAAATACAAATGAATATCCACCTAAGAAAGTGAAATACAAATGCATATCCACCTAAGAAAGTTGCTACTAGGATGAACCATTGGGAATGTAGTAGCACCATTTTTTTCTTTATGTTTTTTTTTGCAGTGTCTCTAATAAAAAGCTATTTAATCTAGTAACACCATTGGGAATCTTGTGTCACGGATGGATAGTAGAAGAAATGAATTAATATTAAATATAATTAAAAAATATATATGTATAAGTATGATTTTAATTTCGGTGGAAATTTAAAAATCTTTGTTTTTATTTGTATTTGAAGTGTAATTTACGTGTGTACATTGTTTGTTTTTGTTAGGAGGCTGTTCAGAAATAAACTTTCTATTATGACTAATTTGGTTTGCCAAGCATCATCAATTTAAATTGCACTAATTCCTTGAGCGGCTATGGATTATGGATTTGAAAAAAAAAACATCATAAACCACCAACACCGAGTTGAGAAAGAAGTTTGGTAGAGTACATACTACCTTTAAAACTAAGACGAGGCAATCAAGAAAAGGAGGTTTGTTCCAAAAGTAGTTTTGATGTGAAAATATGAAGACGGTGTTGAAAAGACAAAATGTTTTTGGCCAACTATTGCATGAATTGAAAGAGAATGCATAGCTGTGAAACGTAACAGAAAACAGTTGGAGAAGATAACCAACTATTAGCTTCTATTGATTCAGAATGAATAGATTACAAAGTGTGACGAATGAAACTTTTATACAAGTGTAAAATAAAGCATATACTATACACATCACTTCTTCAGTCATATGGCCAACTAATCTCAGTCATTATCTTAATAGTCTCTCTCAAGCTGAGCATTATAGAAGTCTATCATGTCAAGCTTGGAGATAAACATGTTGAACTTGGGAGGAGTCAAAGCCTTGGTCAGGAAGTTAGTAAGCTTTTCTTCCGAAGTATCCCATTTTGTACTTTTTCGCGTACTAAATGGCAGTCCATATCCAAGTGTTTGGCTCTCTCATGAAACACGGAATTAGAGACAATATGAAGAGCGATTTGGCTATCACAGTATAGAACAGGTTGTCTTGTAGAAGTGATATGCAAATTCTTAAGCAAGTGTAACAACCACCGTAACTCATAGGTGGCAATGGAGAGAGCTCTGTACTCTGCCTCAGAAGAAGACCTAAAAACTGTTTGTTTCTTTTTGGCACACCATGAAATCAGAGAGGAAACAATAAAGAAACAGTAACCTGATATGGATCTTCGAGAACCGATACAGCCAGCCCAGTCAGAGCCAAAGTACTCAAGAATTTGCACCTCTGAATTTCTGGGGAATTAAAAACCTCTTCCAGGGTTATGTTTAAGGTATCTTACCACTTTACAAGTTGCATATTGAAATGTGACATGGTAAATTCCTATGTTTTGCTAAATGGAAAACATCACATATGCCTTTTTATCTACAACAATGAAAGGAAAATCACAATGTAACATAGCCATTCTAGAACTAGAAAGGTGTCCTAACCTTAAATGCCATAAGGCTTGATCTGGTATGACGATAGCTCTTGAAACAGAAGTGGCACCAGCAGTATGTATCATTTTATTTTACATATTTAAAATCTCCATTAAACCTGGTCAAAAAATGGATAACATACAACAGATTTTGGTCAAACCTAGCACTTCACATAGCATCACAAGAACAACAAATATGACAACTGCAATTAGGTATAGGCATGCACATTTCTAGTTCTTCATAAACAACTGCAATTAGGTATAGACATGTACATTTCTAGTTCTTCCTAAAGAATTCAGTTACAGTTCGATTTTTTTCCTTCAAGGAATAGATCTCTTGTTGTAATGGACAAGTCGAAGCGATAAACAAGATCTGTAAATCTTAATTAAAAGCCTTGAAACATGAATGAGACACTAAACCAAATTATGTGGGTTTATAGAGATTCACTCAAAAGAAAAGATTTTAATTAAGAGATTTAGTGCAAAAACACAATTTTACCAAGGAGTACTAAATCTCAAAGAATTGGTTAGAATACACGCCGCGACACTTATATGTAATTATTTGGTAGGTGTTGGACTATCAATCATTTTTACTTGTCTTTAATGTTAAAATTATGGTTAGAATACTTCATAAAGTGGCACGGAACAAAATCAGTTAGATCAAAACAAGAAACTATGCATAAATATTAATTTAAATGTACAACTGAGTACAATTAAGTTGAACATAATTGTTGTGATCACAAACGATACCTTTCAGCAAATCAAGATTGAGAAACAAAGATTTTGGGTGAGTAATGAAAACAGTTAGAACAAAGAGAGAAAGATGAAAAGATAAAAAAGAAAGAAGAAGAAGGATTTGTGCAAGCTTGTATACTATTCACTTTCTCATAAATGATTATAAATGAATATCACAATTTACCTCACTCAACAACCTGAGTGAGCTAGCCTATATATAGACTAACTAGATAACTTGCAACCAAAGCTAACTAAACAATTGGATCCATAACAAAAGGCTCAACTCGACAAATGTTTCGACAATACATATTAGAACGGACTTCGACTACAATATGTATCCTTCGACCACAACATGCGACCCATCTTCGACTTTATGCTTATCTTTTGTCGACATACATGAAAGCTATTCCTCGATAAACCTTGAGTTCGACCCAAAATCTCGTAAATCTCCACTTTGGATCTATTTCAACAAACAGAGAATCAACTAGCTTTCATCATGCAGCTTTATCAACTGCATACAGTGGAAAAACTTGCAACTGGGCAACATATTGGTGATCATATCAGCAGCATTGTCTTCAGT